TGTTCATGTGTGTTCATGTGTGTGTATTCGTGTGTATTCATGTGTGTGTTCGTAGGTGTGTGCGTGTGCATGTGTTTTTGTGTATGTTCATGTGTGTTCATGTGTGTGTATTCGTGTGTATTCATGTGTGTGTTCGTAGGTGTGTGCGTGTGCATGTGTTTTTGTGTATGTTCATGTGTGTGCATGTGTGTTCATGTGTGTGTATTCGTGTGTATTCATGTGTGTGTTCATAGGTGTGCGTGTGTCCTCATGTATGTGCTCATATGTGTGCGTGCGCATGTGTGTTTTGCGTATGTTCATGTGTGTTCATGTGCGTGTGTGTTCTCGTGTGTGTGTCCCTGTGCTTGTGTGACAGGTTAGCACAGCAGAAGTAGAACCACATTACCAGTCCATGAGGGACTTCAGCCCCCGGCTTCCCCCCACACTGGAAGAGGTGCCTTATCCCCAAGGTGAGTCAGACCACACCACTACTGCCCGTTTCCAGGCACCCTCACATCTGAATTGGGCCCCCTGAGAGCCTTCCTTTCCTTCCCAAATACTCCGGATTATTGTGACCTAAATACCCCGGAGAGCAGCCTGAGGAGGCCAGAGTCGATTGCCTCATGTCAGAAGGCCCCGCCCTTGGCTGCTGGGTTACATGCTTGTGGGGCAGAGGAGACCTGCTCATTTCATGGTGGAAGGAAATGGAGAGTGAGTCAGACAGGAAGGGGACCAGAGGCAAGGGACCCCCCCCCAAGGCACGCCCCAATGACCTACTTTGTCCCCTGAAGTTTCCAGAACCTCCCAGACTAGCACCACCAGCAGTGTCTGGAACCCCCAACATGTGAGCCCATCCCAACCATACCGTTACCAACTCCAGCCTTCACAGGAGTTGAAGATGAAGACATGGCCTTCCCTGGACATCTGTATGATGAGGTGGAGAGAGCCTATGGCCCACCTGCAGGCTGGGGACCCCTCTATGATGAAGTCCAAATGGTGAGGAGATTCTTAGCGGCCGTTTGTCTAGGCCGGAACCCCACCTCCTACTGTGCGTATCAGTTACGATATGTCACTGTGACAAAGATACCCAGCCTGAATGCAGTGTCAGGAAGAGCTAAAGGAATGGTGGGGCATGCCAGAGATTCGGGGGAATGAGTTCAAAGCCAGCCTTGACTACATAGTGAGATTCTGTCTCCTCCAAGCAAATGACAAAATCCTTCTTTCTCACATAATCGCCCAAGTGGAGTCTTGCTGTACCTAGTGCTTTACAACCCAGAGTTCTCTCCCTCTCTTCCTCTGTCACTGTCTAGCACACCCATTGCCGGGGTCTGCAGGCATAGGTCAGTTTACCAAGGGGGTGGGAGGACCAATCGGCTAGAGGAGGACAGAGAAAGAAGAGGCCAGAGAGACCCAGAAATGGTCATGCACCCCTCTGCTCTCTTCTGATTGACCGGAACATAGTCACGTGGCTGTGTCTAGCCAGATTTGGGAGCTGTTGTCTACAGTTCTGCCACTGTGGGAGAAGGAAGGGGTATCCAATTATTCCTTGGATAATTAGCTGTCTCCACCACACTGGTTAAACTGCTAGAGAGAAAGAGTTTTTAAAAACTAGTTTATCGCTGGGCATTGGTGGCGCACGCCTTTAATCCCAGCACTCGGGAGGCAGAGGCAGGTGGATCTCTGTGAGTTTGAGACCAGCCTGGTCTACAAGAGCTAGTTCCAGAACAGCCTCCAAAGCCACAGAGAAACCCTGCCTCGAAAAACAAAACAAAAACAAACAAAAAAACTAGTTTATCTATTGTCCTGTGTGCATGCACAATGTGTGTGAGTGTGTACATGTAAATATCAGAGGGCAGTTTTCTGGAAACCTTTGTGTGGATTGTGGGGAAGCAAATTCCTGCTACCAGACTTTCATGACTTGCGGCATCTTGCTGGCCAGGGAAAGAAAGTGCTTTGATCCACATAGCTGAAAAGCCACACGCTAGAATTGTCTTCGGGCACAAATAGACTCAGAATTTCTCCCTAAACCTTTCCTGGTAGAGTCAGCTTTCCATCCTGTTAGATTTGAAATCTCCCAAGAAAGAGAATGTCTCTTTTCCAAGTCGTTCCCAACGCACAGTGCAGGCACACATTGGGTCTGCCTTTGGCCACACACATGGTTGAGCCAAGCACTGAGACATGATAGAATATACCATTTGGCTTGGAAGATTTTGTTTTGAGACAGGGCAGCCCAGACTGGACTTGAACTCACTACGTAGCTGAAGATGACTTTGAATTCCTGATTGCCCGGTCTCTGTCTCCCACGTGCTGGCATTACCCGTGTGAGCCACCACATCTAGCACATTATACCATTTGGATAAGCCTGAGTCGGTGTTCATTTACGGGGCCAGAGATTGCAGGCCAGAACGGAGTGAGGATGGTGGCTGGGCAAGCGCCAATGTCAGGCAGGTACTTCAGCCTCCCACCCACCCACTGCATCACGCCAAGGGAGATGAGAGACACGCCTAATGTTCAAACTGGATACGGTGGTACGTGCTTGTTTTCCAACATTAAGGAGGAGGACTAGGATTTCAAAGGCAGCCTGGACTACATATTGAGGTTCTGTCTCAAAAACGAAAACTATCAACAAAAAACAAAAAGCCTGACTCTCTCCTGAGCCTGACCAATGACTGCTCTCTGGACTGTGGATTTCCCAATGTCTCAGATTCTACTGTCCCAGCTCGGATGCCGCGGCGGCTGGAGCGCTGTCCGTGGTGCTGGACCGTATGTTCCCTGGGAAACGCTGGTGGACCCTGCAGGGTGCCTGCACAGAGACCAGAGAAGGAATATTTTGGCCTTCCTCTAAGCTATTCGTCTTCTTAGGGTAGAAGCAGTCACCACGCATGCGTATATGAACATGCCAGGCTATGTTCCAAGGAGAATATATATATACGTGTGTGTGTGTGTGTGTGTGTGTGTGTGTGTGTGTGTGTGTGTGTTTCCAGACAGGGTTTCTCTCTGTAGCCTTGGCTGTCCTGGAACTCGATCTGTAGACCAGGCTGGCCTTGAGCTCATAAACATCTGCCTGCCTCTGCTCCTGCCTCTGCCTCCCGAGTGCTGGGATTAAAGGCTTCTAGTTAATTTTTATACAGCACAAATACTATATTCTCTGATTTTTCCCCTGACAATCTATAATTATCAGCCCCATTTGTAGCTCTTGGGTAACACAAAAGCAGATGAGGCCAGCTGTATTTGTTTCATGGGCCATTGATGCTTCAAGGTTTGTTCAACTAAATATCCATTTTTTTCCCAAGTTCTAGAACAGATCACATCTCCAAAAAGAGCCCCCTATATGACCTCTCCCCCCCTCATCCATTTAAAGTTAATTAATTGTATGTGTGCATGCGTGCGTGAGAGTGTGAGGAGGCCAGAGAGCAGCTTGTAAAGATTAGTCCTCTCCCTCCACCATGTGAGCCCTGAGGGTTGAGCACGGGGTTGTCTGGCTTGGTGACAAGTGTCTTTGCTTTCTGAGCCATCCCACAGTTCCACACTTTTTTAAAAATCCAAAGTCTCACTATATAGCCAAGACTGACCTTGGACTGGCAATCCCCCTGCCTCAGCTTCAGAGAGTGCTGGGATCACAGTTGTGTGTCACAGCACCAGACTGTCTTCCATTTTGATAGGGAAATGTGTTGGGAGCCATGAGACAGACACCGAGACTCACTGAGACTCACATCCTACAGAAGCCGTAGCTGCCATCATGAGGGTTGCTCTTATTAATTAATTAATTTGTTTGTTTGTTAAATGAGGCAAGGTCTTTCTCACTCTGTAGCCCAGGTTGACCTTGAACTAATGGCAGTTCTCCTGCCTTAGCTTTCAAGATACTGGGATTACAGCTTGAGACACCTCATCTGGATCTCAGCTTTTATCATCATCATCCTCATCATTATTAACGGGTGTTTTGCCTGTGTTTTATCCATCTATCTGTTTATCTTTGGTCTCACTATGTAGAGGGCAGGGTAGCTCTTAACTCAAAAGCGTTCTGCTCAGACTCGTGGGTGCTAAGATATGCTAGCACACCAGCTTTAAACCTAAATTATACAGAAGACCCCACCCCCAGACAGAGAAGTGATTGTAATGAGCCATTTTTATGAACTCCTGCCTGCTTATCTCCTAACTGCAACAGAATCCACTCTCACCCCACCTTGACTTTTCTCGAATTCCATATTCAGACAGATAAACAGGTAGTTTTTTTTTTAAGTGGGGTCGGGGGCCCTTGCTATGTAGCCCTGGCTAGCCTAGAACTCACTATGTAGCCCAGGCTTTCTCCAAACTCAAAGCAAAAGCCTCAATGGCACTAGAATTGCAAGTATGACCGAAATGACTGGTTTATAATGGCTTCTGGTTCTATTTTGGTCTCAGCAGCAGCACGGGGAGGGGGGCAGGTTGCACAGAAGACCTTGTGCATGGTGAGCCAGTGTGCTAAACCATGATCAGGTGTAAAAGGGAGCTCAACTGGGGTGTGTGTCCTACAGAGCTGGAGTGATGTCCCACAGGGCATCTCTGTGGCCCTGACACCACTTCTTGCCCGTTAGGACCCCTATGACCTTCGCTGGCCTGAGGTCAAGTATGAAGATCCAAGGGGGATCTATGACCAGGTGGCAGCAGACTTGGGTGCTGTGGAACCGAATTCTCTACCCTTCGAGCTGAGGGGACATCTGGTCTGAGAACCTTCATGACACCCGTTTCCTACGGTCACTGTATGTCTTGCTCCGGTGTCTCTGCACATTCCCTTCCTGCTGAGCTCATTCTGTGAACACAGTGTCACAAAAACACATGGTTTTTTTTTTTTTTTTTTCAGGAGACATGAAGGAATGTATTCAGTGACAAGAAGATTCAAGTTGACATGAGGGATAAGCAAGGCTCCTTTTATAGGAATGAAACTTCTCCAAAAGGACAGAGCTGCTTGGAAACGACACCTGAACAACGAGAAATCCATTTTAAGAACCATTATACTTTTCAAAAGTAACATTTTTAGAAGTAGGAAAGACATATTAAAATCCCATCCACAGCCAAGGGAGAAGCTCAGTGTGTGCTTTAGCATGGATGAGGTTCTGGGTTGCAGGTTGGAGGCAAAGCTCAACACAGACAAACACCAA